ACTTTCTCAAAAGGTTGTTGTAATTACAGTTATTTTTTAAAAATACATTTATTGGCGAAATATGATGAACTAGAGGACTTGTGACATTGAGGAAACGCAAAGAAAAATCGATACAGTTGACAGAATACCAAATAAAAGTTTTGATGTCATGAATGGATGTTGTAGGTTAAGTCTGGAAGTAGAGGCACAATGGAGAGAAAAAACACATTCAGAAATAAATATGTATTTAGACTTCTGCTAAAAGCTAATAAGCTTAAAGGATTAACCATTAAACCCATTAGCTCATTGACAGAGAATTTATTGAATTGTTTTGTTAATTGATGCACATGAAGCCATTTAAATAAGTAAACATCTTTTATATTTGCAGTACATTTGCAGTGTTTAGGTTCGTTGAACCTCTAGAAATCCCCTGTTCTCCATCAGAAATCACGGCAGCTTCAATGTGGGTGATTTCCAAGGCAAACAAACCGGTCTGCTGCACCTTAGGGAGAACACACAAGGTGCACTGTGCATCATCAGGACACACGAGTTAGCGCAGAGACAGGAGGAAGACAACGTGCAGAAACTGTCCTGCTGCTGCTGCTGCTGCACTCCAGGTGTCAACCTCTTGACCTCTTGAAAAAAAGAAAAAGAAGCAAAGAACGCCTCGACACATCCGACCAAACCATCAGAAACCCTCCAATCAGCAGCAGGCAGGAAGAAGGAAGCGGCAGGATCACTTGAGCGAACCTGACCACACCTCCGCTACAGCAACCGTGAAGGCATGGACCCTTCTGGGAAGCACACCTGTTACATCTTAAAGAAACAGATGGTACAACTGATGGAATGTATGCACACTGCAGATATGATTTAGTACATAATTAAATCAAAATTAGAAGGTGAATATTCCTAATATGGGAGGCTGATCTAGGCCAAATGGAGAACCTCAAAAAGGGCCCTTTAGGATAATATATATATATATATATATATATATATATATATATAAAAAATAAAGGGCCATTATGATATATATATATATATATATATATATATATATATAAAGGGCCATTATGGATGATTAGCTGCAGGCACAGAGAAGATTGCACAGGATAAATGGTGGATAATTATGTATCCACAGGCTAGTTTCTAAAGCTTCCAAGACTTGAATTACTGCTTGTAAAAAAAAAGGATCATAACTGTCCTATACGGACCATCTTACCTTTCCTGCTAATTATACATTAATTTCAAGTTCCTTCTCTGGGTTAACAGATGACTTATTTGTAAGGGGATGTTTAAGCAACACCCGAAGACTTTCAGTTTAATATATTAAAAAAAAAAAAAATGAGATACAGTAAGATGAGAAGCTATAATCTTACCATCTAAGATTCTAAAAAAAAAAAAAAAAAAGGTCAGTGTCCTTAAGAAATCTATTTCAGTGCTTATAGGTGTGCCAGAAGATGGTAGCACCTTGACTAAGACTCCAAAACTTTACAGTTAAATAAATACGCTTTGATTTCTGGAAATTTCAATCAGGAACAAGCTTCTTCTCGTGAGAATATTCACCTGAACCCCCTCCTCCTGTTCTTCACCTCCCTCTATCTCTCTCTCTTTCACACGCTCACACACACTTTCCACCGCTGCATTGTCTTGTCTGTGTAACTCTAGAGCTGCACCAGCTTGTGTTTCTGATACACAAGCACTGCTCGGAAACACTACTCCTCGGATAACATGTTCTAGGTTACCAGTCACACACACACACACACACACACACAATGGCGAGCATCATCCTGCCCCTTCTCTGACCCCCTTTGGACCAGGTGTACCTGAAGGTTTCACCAGACCAGCAGAGAACTATGAACCTGAGTGGGCAGAAATTGGAGAGTCCAATTTAGGCAGAGACGGATTTTTTTGGCATCATGAGTCGCCTTGAAACACGGGGAACAAGTTTCCCATTGGGCTTAGAATAATCTGTCGTTGAATATCAGAGGCTAAGTATCTCACTTGATGTCTTTTTTAGTGTTTAATTTCACCTGCTGGAGGAGGAAAAAGTGTCAATCAAAGACAGCAGCACTCTAAGTTGATTTTTTTTCTACTCTGAATTCTTAATGCTCCACTCGTTGTTCAGGCACTCAAGTGGAATGAGACAAACTTTAAGTGGGATCAAACAAAGCAGCTGTAAAGTTACATATTTCCATCCAGCAGCCCGACACAGGCTTGTACTGTACCTGTGCGACAAAGCCGTGAAGGTTACAGAACACGGCTCAACTTATATAAGGTGTTATGCAAGCGCTTTTCCCTTTTCATGGGAAAGACAGCGCAACAATAGCTACTCTGCTCTTACCTGACTCCTACATCGTCTCTCTGTTCTCTCATATAATCAGCTGAATTAGAACTTCTTTTTTCTTCTTTTTTTTTTTAAACACAGAAATAACACAGAGAGCTACAAGTGGCTGGCTAAAACTTGCTTCCGATTGCATCACATTGTGTGAACTCCCCTGCTTACATTATGCTTTTTTTTTTGTTTGTGCATCATCTAGCAACACATTCCCAGATCTTCTCTGCACCGACTTTCCACAAAACTCACAAAAAAGTGAAACCATTACCAACGGCAAAATAAGATTTGTTTTCAAAACGTCTTACATAGTGTGTCATTTGCATTCAAGAATGCATTCAAAGTGTTACATAACTTCATATATGTCAGCCAATGAGCTGTGTTTACAGCCTAATTGGGTATAAATGTTCAACCTAAAGAGGCTTATAGCTCTCAGAGAACATGGTGCAGTGATTTATTCTTTAGTCTGTGTTAAGAGGGATATGTGTGTAGTGCTTTAAGTATAAGGCAAAAAAAAAAAACTTTAAAAGTACGGATTGCACCTTTAATCCTCTGATTAGCTCTGCACCTGTACCTTCAGGCTACACAGATACCTCAGCACTGAGAGGTCCCTCATTTACATGTCTTTATACCGGCTGATTAATTGCTAAATCAGCATTTTTTTCCACATCTCAGCTCTGCAGGGAAGGGGACGCTGCAGGCCACGACAAACAGCCCTGACTGAAACCAGAGAATCAGAAAAGAAATACCCTGAGGCTGCAGAGCGGAGGGGGTTAAGCAACTGCTGAAATCTGAGGCATGGGTCAGTTCCAGAAAAGGTGACATTTGGAAAAAAAAAGTTGACTAAAGTTAAGGGGCAAAATCAAATCTGAAAATGTACACTAGAGGGGATGTATTCACAATGAAAAAAAGTTCTTCTCTATATTTCACCTTTGCTCACCGTCCACGAACCTGAACGTTTGATGCTAAACCTCTTTGATGCCTCTGACTTGTGGAAGCAAAATAAAATTGCCCATTCATGCACCGCACGGAGAGAATTCCTACGCTCCCACCTGGACCTTGAACACACCTTTCCAGATGGTATGCCAATCATTTTATCTGCACAACCCCACTCAGAAAAAAAAAAAAAAAAGTTTTTCTTAGAAAAAAAAAAAATTCAAGGCCACATCAGCCTTTCACCAAAGGAATGTCATCTGACGTCATGTATTTGGGATCGGATTTCTCCCTCTTCTCTTTCTCTCCCCCATGAAAAAAAGTGTGTGTGTGTGTGTGTGTGTGTGTGTGTTTTCCTGGAGCCTATATTCTTTTTTACCATGCACTGGATCCAGAGCCCACAGCAGAGGGGGGTCTGTGATTCCCAAATCATAGCCCCAATTATCTCCCACAACGCACCCCCCCCCCCCCCCACCACTCAGCATGACAGTCAACCTCTGAGTCAGGTCATCACATTTAAAAATCAAAGCAAAAGCACTAACAAGCATCTCATCTTTTGCATCCTCTTTTCTTTTTGTACCCTGCAACTTCTGTCACCCTCACTCCTTGTCTTAAATGGCTCCTTACACAGCTTTGCGTGTATGTGTGTGTGTGTGTGTGTGTGTGAGTGTGTGTATGTGTGTGTGCTTATAATGTAGGTATACGTGGAAAGCCGAGATAATCGATCGTTTCAAGCAGGAGCCCAATGTTTGATTTCCACGTCTGCATCAGAGAGAGAGAGAGAGAGAGAGAGAGAGAGAGAGAGGTTTGTCTTCTCTGCACAGACAGACACGTAGTCGTTTCTGAGAGGGGGAGAGAGGGAGAGAGAGAGAGAGAGCGAGAGAGAGAGAGAGACTGTGACTGGCTGGAAGGAATGCTAGGATATGCTGGAGTTGGGATTTTTTTCCTCCTCAAAAGCCCCTTTTTTCCTGCATTTTGCAACCGCACACAACCTCTCTGGAAAGTTGCTCTAAAACAGCCCCTCTAGTGTTCCTCACCAGTTATCCAATGCGGAATGACCCCCTATAGAGGCGATTCAATGATTTCGCAACCCCCTCTGTCAAATCTGACTGCCTCAGCATCTTCCCTTCCAAAGTTATTTTTCCAGCTCTTATAAAGTGCTCGTTTCCTGATTTCGAGCAGCTTAAAAACACAAGCGAACATTTACCACCGAGCGAGTCGCAGCACAACAAGATTTAGATTTAAAGAAATGAAGCGGAGAGAAAAAAGGTTTTTTTTTCTTTTTTCTCTCCTGTTGCGCACTCACTCCATCTGAAGTCCTCGGAGACAAAAACACATTCTTTCGGGAAAAGCGGAGAAATCGGGACCACAAAGAGGAGAGTCCAGACGCAACAGCGAAGCAAGCAGCACGACTTATGTGGAATACACGTCCCCGCTGTTTTGCTTTATCTCGTTCTTTCTAAAAAACAAGGGTTAATTAGCCCAAAAGTTTCGGTTCTCCCCACTCCTCCTCCTCCGCAGCAGAAGCACTGAAGTAGTTTTCCTTTTTCCTTTGCGCTGGCCAAGTGGCCCAGACTGCCGGCGTCAGCTCTCCAAACTCTCTCTCACACACAGACTCTCTCTCACACACACACACGCACTTCTAAAAAACTTTTCTAACGTCGACTCCATCGGCCACCATGCCCCCCGCTTTCTTCGCGGGCTGCGTTGATACCGTGAAAGAAGAAGTGTAAAAAAAAAAAAAAAAAGGACTCACCTCGCTGCAATAAAATAATCTTCAAACAGACGGAGCTGCGCGTTTTTTATTCCCAGGGTCGGGTCCTGACTGTCTGCTGGCGCGGCTCGACGCGTACTGCTCGGACTCCGCCATGTCAATCAAAACGCGACGCACATGTAGGTCAGAGCCCGCCTCCTTTTACCGTAATACACGCTGCGCACTCAAAAAAAAAAAAAAAAAAAAAAAAAAAAGGCAAAACAGCAGAGCCGCTGCCTCAACTTTATGATAGAAACAATCAGCAGGAAAAACGATTTAAAAAGACTAAAAACCCTACAAGAAGGTAAAACAATAACTAAAAAAGTAAGTAATAATTAAAAGTAAGTATCACTTAAAAACTATTTCTGATAGCCTTTTTTGTTTAATCAATTCGACTAAACAACAATAATTAAAAGGTCTTTTGGCGATTTAGGCATCAAAACAAAAGCCTTGAGCTGTTAAAAACATGAATTATGCAACACATTTTATGCCACTTTATTGTTTATGGACACTGACCGTCTAGAGGTGTAAAAAAAAAAGTCATAAAGATGTAATAAAACATTTGTTTTGAAACACATCAAGCTCCACTCTCAGCGGCTTTTATTTTCAGAGGAAATGAAGACTGCTCTTAAAAGGCTATTCGTATGTATTACATAACAGTTGTTGTTTCTAAGAGAATTTATGTCTCTGTCAGCCAGAAAAGATGCTGAAATATCCTGAAATGACAAATGCTGAATCCAGTTTTGCCTGGTTTGTTTTTATCTTCACATGTCACAGAATATCTTCACATAGCCAAAACCTGCAGCAACAAATGACCTGACCTGTGTCACCATGATCCCACTGTCACCTACAAATCATCCGCCTTTCTAACAACTACCAAAACATTTTTTAAATTATAAATATATTTCAATATCGCTGACAAAAGTGTGCGTTTCTTACAGACAGAAGCAAAAAAAAGAAAGTCAATCAGTGGGAGCTTTTTTGAGTGTCACAAAGCCTGTCCTAGTGCCACAAAAACAAACTGAGACAACAGGACAAAGTCCCTCTGGTGGCTGCACTGACACTCCACATCCCTCAGCTGACTGGTCCAAGGGTCACGGATCCAACACCGGAGCTTATGATGGGAACATTAACATGCAGGGATATAGCAAAAAAATAAAATAACTTAGATTAAAATCGATGAAATCTGTTCTGAATTTGATGCACAGGTGTGTCAAACTCAGACAGGATTTGATTTACAAGGAGTCTGTCTCAGTGATCTGGTGCAGAAGAATCATTGAAATTAAATGTAGAAATTAAACTCCAAAAAAAGTGAAGGAGCCTTATAATGTAAAAGAAAACTTTATCGCAATAAATTTGACGTAAACATGCATGTGAAAGTATAGATTGGTATTTTTGGAGTGTCATTAAAGAGGTACATAGTTTGTGTAATGTGCAGGAAAGTTAGGAATGTGCCGAACTTATCGGTATGAAATGCAGACATGTATGTGTTTGTGCACGGTTATCTATCAGGAGATCACATCTGTACATGTTCACTTAAACTTCCTTTGGCTCCATGTATTACAGCACTCTTACATGTACACACAGAATAGTTTTTTTTTTTTTATCTGTGAAGTGATTTTTCGGGGCGTGTTGGTGCTTGATATCGAGACAGAGAATGTAAGCTGCCAAGTGTTTCAGTGCCAAATGCACAGTTTTAAATGCCTCCTTTACACACCTACATACAAGCCATTTGATGTAAGGACTTTTCCTAAATTATTTCTGGTGAGAGTTAAAGTTACGCCTGAACTGATGCTGCTTCATTTGTTTTTTCCAAAAGTTCAGCATCAAGCGTATTTTTACCCCCTGAAATAAATGTTTGATTTTCAAGGATGTTAACTCATGACTTTGGAGAGTTTAGTTGCACTTAGCAGAAGAAGAAGAAGAAGAAAGAAGTGAATTATAAATGTGCACGGCTACAGCCTCATTAAAATTGAACTCAACTCGTCAGTTGAAGTCCCAGACTGAAAACGACAAGAATTCCTTCAGTCATCATGACAAAGCGTCCTCTTTAAGATCATTATTTTATGAAAACAACAGCAACAAATACTTCAAGAGCAACATACGGAATAAGTGCAAACAATACAAAAAACAAGCTGTTCATTTCTGTTATGTACGTGTTAGTCTTAGACAGTAGTCGACCTCTGTCTTTCTTTCTGTATTTATAAGCAAGCAAACTCAGCCAAATACACTCATTGCCCCTGAGTTCTAGATAATTCTCTCTAAACACACACACACCCTCTCTCCCTCTAACACACACATACAGGCACACACACACATTCCAGCAACTGTACTAAGAAAACAGCCACTGGTGTAATTCTAAGCCAGTAGGGGAAAAAAAAAACTGCTCCTGGATCAGCATCGTATGCTCTCAAGGAATAAAATTAAATTTGGATGAGATCAATAAACACTTATCATCTTCCAGAGGGCAACTGATGGGGCAAGAATACAGGTAAACACAGGTTAAACACACAGAGACTACACAGTGGAGCCCCCTAACGGCAAAAAGAGTCAGTGCAGTGTCACCTCTGCGTTCTGTTTGTAATATTAGCTTACTCATCGTTTTTTAATATTTCTTATTTGTTCAGATTTAGGTTTCACACGTGGATGTTTGTGAGATCAACCATAAAGTGCATGATATTCCAGTGCAGATCAAAAAAATTGTTAAACAAGTTTTTAAATTCCATGATGTGTTATAGATTTTTATTTTAAATGTATTTCTCTGTCAGTTGCAATGTTCCCCTGCAGACGTTTTAGCTGTTACTAACACAGCCTGACGTGTATATTGACGCCTCTGTAAGATGATCAGCCACATCAAGATGGATTTGTGCTGTACAGTTGATTGCAACTACTGCTGCTGGTTAGCTGTGAGCCCTAACAGCTCGCTCCCAAAACAAGACTTTGATTACATTTTCTACGACAAAGAGTCATACTGAACAATCATTTTGACAGTCGGAGGACAGAACGAAGGAAAGATTAAGGAAAAGATTAGCAAAAGAAAAAGAGGTACTGCTTTGTCCACAGGGGGGCGTCAAAATGACTAACAGAAAGTTCCTCACAGGAGCTTTAAATAAGTTCATTATCTTCAGTACAGGGGGGTAGAATGATCTGATTTATCTGCTGTTATATTGAAACTCATGTATGGGACCAATCATTTCTTTCAACATCACAAAAAAAAAAGAGCAGCCATCTCTAGCTGATGTTATCCTGTAAAAAAAATAAAATAAACTTAGACCAATCACTGCCATGAGGAAGTGGATGGAAAGTACCAATCAAATGTCTCCCTGGCTCTCCATGTGTACTTTACCTTTGTCGTTCAACAGCTTGCACTCAAAAACCTTCACCGCCGCCGGAGGTATTCCACGTCTACCGGAGGATGGCAGAGTAACTTCTTACCGCTCTTAACTGTTTAGATCGAGCAAGAGGACAAACCAGAGAAAACTTCAATAAAGCTTTTCAGCAAATAACTGATAACTGAGGGAGTTTAAAGGTATGAAAAGTGACGCCATGGTTTCTGTCTTTTTGGATGCTGTGTATGTTTTTGTATGTTTGGTGTGCTCACACACCACTGAATGAGACATGAGGTAATGAGATGAATAATGTTGAAAGTGATGCACTGGTGTCCACTCTCCGCCTTTTTACGGAGCACAGGCCACACCCCCAAGCAACATGTGTGTGTGTGTGTAAATATTGCTAATATTTAATGGAAATAAGGCTGTATGTATATTTTTCAATGTGAAATCCTGCGTCCATTGTTGATGTGTACAACATAAAAAGAGAAAACAGATGAGTTGGGGAAGGGCTTCCAAACCTTGAAACAAGTGAGAAGTGAATTGTTGTGCAACACGGGCTGTGAGTCAATATGCAATGTTCCCATGATCCAAAACAGGGAAAACAGTGATCTTCTAGGGAGTTGCGTACCTTCACTGTCAGAATTATATAAATAAAACTGTTGACTCAAATAAATCTGTTAAGGAAAGGAAAGTGGGAATACTCCGAGTGACTTTATTGGACCTTTACAGACGGTGAGTCACCTTAGATCAGATGTGCAGAGAGGAGTGACTGCATGAAGCGGATCTTGGAACAGCGATGCAGCTATTTCCCCTGAATGTCAGGGCCAGGCTTCCACCACCACCACCACCAGATGTTTACCACCGACCCAGCTGCTTTCTCTCTCTCCCTGTCTTTCTCCCCGTCTCTCCCTCTCTCTGTTTCTCTCTCTCTCTCTCTCTCTCTCTGAGGCCCTTTAAAGAGAGCCCTCCCTGTAATCATGCACACTCAGTTCACCAGAGGTCTTTGAAGTGTGTGGAATGTGTCCAGCCATATGATAGTGTGTACTGTATATTCTTATAGCACAAAGAAAGCAAAGCAGAGAAAGCAGGAAAATACATGGTTGGATTGTTGCCATGTCTTCGGTGTGGTTTTTTCTAGATGTTAATTATCCCCCTGCTCGGCTCTTACATGCATGCGTGTGTGTGTGTGTGTGTGTTTATGCATATATTTACGTGTGCATGTTGTGTCTGCTTAAGCGTGTGTGTGCATATGTTGGCTGACATTTTTGTCTGAGACACCAGGTGACGGATTGATAAGTGGCGTCTGGCAGAGTGGACGCCTAGGATGGAACATGACGGTGCGTGCATTTTCTACGTGTGTTTGTGTGTGCATGTGCATGTGCATGTGGGGCACTTCCTCCTAGAGATGTGAGGATGGAATTTGGCTCATCATAAGTTCAAAGGAGTCAACCCAAAGCCCTCTGCACACCAACAAGAGCAGGCATGCCTCTCGTTTTCTCTCTCTCTTTCTCTCTCTCTTCCTCTCTGTCTTTGTCTCCCTCTCTTTACCATACAGCCCATAGTTCTTTTCTTCCTTAGAGACCTGCAAAGGCAGCTGGTTGGACCATCAAACACTCACTTCACTGTTTCTGTTGTGTCTGCGCGTTTGTGCGTGCATCCCCAAAACTTTGCATATCCGTGGATCAGACTGGAGTGTGTAAAGGTGTCTGGAAAAATACAAGGAAGCTGGATAGGATGTGGGATGTGGTCAGCTGTTGTGATTCTGTCACATAACACCAATACAACAGAAACACTGTAACCATGTTACAATTTGAATTTTAACATTTGTTGTCTGTGTAGAATACGTTCTTTGTGTTATGCCTTTTCATGTTGTGGTATTATGAATGTGCAATGATTCACTTTTTGTGCAGCAGACAACTTTTGAGGTAATGTTAACCTGACACCAACAGATTAGAATCCTGATTTCACAAATAACTGCTAGCCTCCTGAATTTTTAAAATGGAGATGCTTAACCTCTTAGCACCTTAGCTTGATTATATTTGCTAATTAGCACTTAAACATCCTGTTTTTGTTTTGAAGTCCTCACACACATTACTTTGCCGTGAGCCTCGATGTCTCGTACAGATGTAGAACGTCCCCCTTTGGTGGATTTCAACTAACTATATTGTTAACAGAGTTTGGCACACGTGCATTAATCTGTTAATCGTTCAATTTGAAAAATGATTATCGAAACATTTAACCTCAAAATTTGGTTGCCATTAATGTCATTTATGTTACTTGAATTCACTTTCATCAACTCAAGTCAACTAACCTCATTTGCTCCAGACTCTCCGAAGAGACGAGACTGGTGACCCTGTTGTTATCCCATATAAACTGACACATCTGCGTCATGTTGAATGCCGGCAATGAAGGGAAGAGAAAGAAAGTCTTGTTGCGACTCAGGCTCTAATATGCTTTTGTTGCCTTGAAACATTGATTGGAAGGTCCTGATTGGTCATGTAAGGTGTCAATCCAAAGGTCAGAGTACATGAATTCCAAAATTGGAAGCAACTGCAGACATTTTGAAGCAAACCATGGATCTTTATGGATGTAATGTGTTTGGATTAAATCTTTCACTGGATTTTTTATCGACCAAAGTTGTGGACTGACCAACAGACCAACCGAATGTCCAGTCAGTCGTACCACTAAGTTTCATGACTTAGAAGTCTAGTATGTATTGGCTACATGTGGTATGACATAAATCTGGTGTCTCTAAAAGGCATGGAACAGCAGGACACCTGATTCAAGCGCACTCTGTTTTTAAGCACCATTCTCTGCTGTCTTTGATGAGATGAATTGCTTCCATTTGCTGTCTAGCTCTTTTTATTGCTTTTCCATGCTGCTTTACCCAATGCTCATGTTTCTGGTATCACTGGTATGTCTGGAACAAGCATGACACTTTGGTGCTCGTACACATCTCTCTGTTCTCTCTTTAACAAGATGGATTGGTTCCAGTTGTTTCCCTCACAATTTTTTCCAGGGGTTTTCCACTCAGCTTTTCCTACAACTCCATGTCCAGGGGAGATCTGTGTTTGTTCAAACTCCGCCACTCAGATCATGTCTTCCTACTTGGCAACTGGAAAACCTTCCAGTCACGACATCACATCACCAAGGCCTGGTCACATCACCATGGGGTAGTGGGTGTTTGCAATCATGGCAATGGTATGTCCATGACTCAACTGGAGGTGGGACTGGGATCTGATTTGGTAATTGTTTGGTGCCTGACATTTGGGGAAAACCAGCTGAGTGCCATTTCAAACAATGACCAGCCAACTCTGACCTTCGATGGGAGGCAAATTGCTCTTGTACAGATCACAACATGGCGGCACGCCAACTATTACACCATTCCCAAGACAATCCCTGTATTAACACAATGAACTTACAGCAGAAACATCTGCCTACAATCATTCTTGGGTTACTATGCATTACACCCTTAACAAGAGAGTTTATACTTTGATGTTACCAGTGTTGCAAGTCATTCAGATAGAGATAAGAGACCAGAAAATGTGATGACTTGGTCTTAAATGCTCAGATTGATAGAGTTCAACTGTTTAGTGGATCACCCACAGATACTCATTGTTTCAACAACTACTGGAAAGTGTGTTTTGATTTAAAAAAATGTTTAATGGTCCCCTGAGGTTAAGCCTTGCATTGTCTTTACTTTTTAAATGTACTTTCCCTCTAGGTCCACAAACAGATTTGCATTTTTGTCTGGAGAACTATTGGATGGAGTAACACTAAAGTCGCCAAAGATGGTAACCTGAGGATGAACCATAATGACTTGGTGTTTCTTTCATTTTGTCTTTTGCTTAACCTGTACTAAATGGATTGGTCCAAATGTGTCATGGACGAAGATAAGAAAGAAAGGATCAAGATTATGGCAGTAGTAAAGATGTCACCGATACCAGATAGTACGACTTGGCTGGGTATGGAAAAAAAAAACACGGTCCAGTTATGTAACTGCTAGCATGTGAGACCAAACCAATGGGACTGCACAGTGGAGCAGAAGGTTCCTGGTTTGAATCCCTGGCCTGAGAAAAGCCTTTCTATATGTAGTTTAAATGCTATCCCTGTGTAAACTTGGGTTACCTCAGGGTACTCTGACTCCCTCCAACTATCCAAAGACCTGTTTATTAGCGAATTGGTGACCCTTAATTGCCCCTATTTTTTTAGCGTATGTCTATATATGTACCCTCCCTCTTGCCCAATGACAGCTAGTTCTTGGAGTTGAGAGCAGCTGACCAGCATGAGTAAATTTCAAACTTTGAAGTCAAGTAGTGGGTCCCCTTATTCTATTTAATTAAACTTTTTAACTTAGCTCAGATGTCAATGAGGGTATGTCTCATCCAATGACTTGTTGTTATCACTGAAATTGTAATACGTGGCTGCAGCTCGCTTGGAAATCTCCAATCAGTGTCCCGCCAAAAGAACAATCAACAATGTGTGCACTCAACAGACACTTCCTGTTTGGCACATGTTTGTCATGACAACAGTGAAGCCAGCAGTCAGTGGCAGTGATTCAGTACAGAGCTGTTGACGTCATGTATGCAAGTCACAGTCCAAGCCTTGTGGGTCTGAGAACCTCTAATGAACTAAGTTGGCATCAGATCAGTTCCTGCACTTCAGGAGAAACAAACTCCCAAAAACTCACTCACCTTGAAGTGTCCCAGTGTAAATTAAAAAAACGATTTTTTTTTTCTTAATGCTGATTAAATTTACCTTAACACATTTATAACATGTTTACACTGAAATGTCAAGACCTGAGGTAAAAAGTTCAGCACGTCAGACAGGACACTCAGCTGTTTAAAAGACTGTAAAGTACACTTTACTGATCAACAGTGCAGAAACACACACTACGGGACACAGTGTGTGTACAAATGGAGAGAATGATGACGAGCGTGTTTGTGATGAAGAGGTTTGCGTGATTGAGAAATTAGGTGGGGTAAGTTTGTAAGTAACTGTAACAAATCGTTTTAAGGCAAAAATTATATACTTGAATTTTTTTATTTGAACTTTTAAACTTCAGACAAAAAAGCAAGAAATAACATGGGACAAGGCAAAGAAAATGAAGAGGAAAAAAAATAATAAAATGGGAAAAGAGAGACAGAATGAAAGAAAGTAAAGAAAGAAAAGAAAGAAAGAAAAAGAAAATATGAAAGGAAAGAGGATGACTGAAATAAAACCATGCCAATATAATAACCACCAGGATTTGAACACATCTCATCCTTAAGTCTCCTCTACACAGAGGAGGTATATCAAAGTAAAAGTGTCCTCTTTATCCCTCACAATAGAGACCAAAGTAAAAGTCTTCTTTCTACTTCCTTTAGTAGAGATTCAGTTTCTTAGTAAGAGTCTTGTGTGGCTTCTTTCCTTGCCCGATGCTGCATTTATGATCATCAGGTCATTTTACAGAGAGCCAGAGAAAGTCATCAACCAGAGTCGTCCTGTTGCCTTCAACAGTTCTTTACTGTCTTCACTGGTTGAGCGGCTCTTCTCGAGTGTGTGCGAGAACACAGCAGTGAAACATCAATCTCAGAGGTGTCCAACAGAGATAATCCCATATATTTTTGTGATTGTCGGATCAGTCTTCTTCTGCTGATGAAATACACACAAACATACACGCACCTAACATAATTTACCCCCCTTATCCCGAGCCACACAGTGGCACAGCAACATGAAAATACATCAAAAAATCTGAGCCGTTATATATCTATAATGGCTTATTATTACTATAATCGTTATAATAATATAGTTTAAAACACAGTCAGGCACATTTACAATGGCTGTAGAGCAAGAGGTCTTAAAACCTTACAGTGCCCCCTAGCTTTTTCCCTTTCAAAGCAATACAAATCTGGTGTGTGTATGAGTGTGTCTGTGTACAGTAAGTGCCAGTAAAGGAGGTATATAACACTGGATTTGAAGCCATTGAGGACACGAGCTGTCCACTTTCTAATTAAGGAGTTATACAAGAACACACACACACACACTGAGCCAGGGAACACATCCCCATGGCAACAGCTACGACATATAAACAGCCTGAAACTGAGAGCTACACGTCACGCGCTCCTAAAACACACCACTCTATCAGTGATTTATAAGCAAACACACGCTCCTAGTTATTACAGTACGGGCAGTGTACACACTTGCACCTGTCCCTGTGAGTGCAGCACAGTAAATCATGGTGTTAAAGGGTCAGTTCACCCAAATAGACGGACTTAAACCTTACTAAGTCTTACTCGTACTGACGAGGGTTACAAAAATACATTTCCTCAGCAGAGCGTAGCTGCAATTTAAAGCTTGTACAAGCCCAAAAAATGTAATTCAAATTATTTGCTATGAAATGTTGTTGAGGCAAAAATGCAATAGACAAACTTTATACTACCGTACATTAAAATATGTGCTTGCTGGATACCAGTAGAGGTTTAGGAATAAATGCTTTTTGGGTGGACTGACTCTATTAGGAGGCATTCCAGTGGTGTGTTTGGTATCGGTGTTAAAGGGAAAATTAGCTTCAACACATTTTTATAAATAAACAGTCAATGAGATTTATATGCAGTAAAATAACATATTTTGGCATAATCAACATGATCAGATCAAAGCAATAACCAGGTAAAGAACATATACAAAAAATAATACAGAGGGATGTTTTTAAATGATTGCATTACACACACTTCTTCGTGTCTTCGTTATTACAAATGTTACAAGTGGAAATGTGTGACCAACTCTCCCAGAGAGTTTGATATGTTTGACCTTAATAAAAAAGAAGTGTAGAGAACGGCTGGTAAGTTTAAGTTAATGTAATGAAGGACTGTTTTTTTTTGTACAAATGAGAGAAAATGGACTCCATTACTAGAGCGCTAATAATTCTGCACTAATACTAGATAAGCTCAGACCGTGAAGGAAAGTCCTTTTTGAAAAAAGTTGGCCTGCCGCACTGCACTGTGCATGTGCAGTAGCAGAGTCTGGCCACATAGAGGCGCTGTTACAAACATGTTAAAGGTGAAATGAACTTCCTTTACAAAGAACACAGTGATGAGCTGCACAGGCAGCCGGTTTGTGACGGCAGTGTCTGTTTGTATGTAACATCATAGTGAGCAGCTGATTGTTGGCAGTGCCTATAACTATCATTATATACTATTATATGTTTACAACTTTGAGTTCATTAGTGGAGCCGACAGTCTACCTGTCTTTCTACCTTTAGCACAGTGAAAAAAAAAGTGATTGTCTTCTGGCAGGATTGTCTGTAGAGAATTTACAATTAAAATAACATTTACATTTGTTTAATCATACACTGCTTTCCCCTATGTTGACTTTGTGAGCTGGAGGCAGTGACTTTTTTTCTGTTTGATAACAGATTTATTATTGCACCAGACCCAGGACAATTCTGGTTAAGGGTCACACACATAAAAAAAAACAGTTGAGTCCATTTTGATGAGGCATCAGAGGAAAAAAAAATGCTTTCCACTATTTGTCTTTACATCCACGTATTTATGATGCATCCATCCAACGAGATCTTCTTCTCCCTTTAATCCTGTTTGTTCCTCAGATTGTAAATCCCCAGAAGTTTCATGCCGTCAGGTCAGATATAACCAGTTTGTCCATTTTATTCCCGATCTCTCCGGGGACCTGCAGCTCCTCCGATTCATAGTCATCATCGAATGACCTGGGAACACAGCACACATGGTAGAGGTTCATTCTCGCTGTACACACCTGAGACTTTCATTTTCCTGAATGAGAAAACTAATCATGACTGAAAAGGGTGTAAACAAAAGCGTCAGGAAGCCCGGCTTATTAAAAAGACGGACAGTGTCATATTTGCAATCGCACAAATGAGCATGTAAGCGTGTGTGTGTCATACCCCTCATGTAGCTGTTCATTTGCAGTCTCCTCTGCCACCAGTATCTCATACTCTTCAGAGGCATATTTATCCCAATCAGACGGCTCTGGACCTTCACTGTCAATATCCTGTGACAACACATGGGGTCAAAACATTTAGAAATTTGAGAGTAATGACATGCATGAATTCAGAGTTTATGAGTGTAAGAAGGAGGTTAATCTGATTTCCCAACATCTCAAAAGACACTAATCTAAATATGTGTGATCATTTGAGAAAAAAACATTTTTTACTGCATTGTAGTACTCAAAGTCGGTCTTGAGACCACTTTTTTGAAGGTCTAATTCACACCTTTTGCACAGCAAATGGGTCTCTCTGTTCATGGTCCAGGTACTTCTCCAGGTTGAAGAAAGTATCAAAGAAAATGTGGGCCATCCGGCAGCGCTTCAAGTCACCAAGGGTTATCTTACCTGGAAAATAAACAACAAAAAAACAAACACAGGCATGAGTAAAGTTCAGAAAGGAAAGAAGGTGATTTCAGAGAGTGGCTTTCTAATAGAAAGGAAAAAATGACATTGGAATCTTAAACATCAACAATCTTAGAAAAAGATGGTGCTTGCTCTCACCTTGGTTCTCAGGTTTGACCAGGTCGAGCATCTGGCAGAGCAGATCCTGGAAGGGCAGAGGTTCGATGCCCATCCTCTCCATCCTCTCGCACTGCTCTTCATAGAAATACTCCAACTCAAACATGGACAGGACCCCATCGCCATCTGTGTCCATGCAGCGGAACCAGTACTCTATACTGCAGAGAGAAAATCACAAATTATTAAACTCATGTAGAGAGATTAAAATTAAAAAAAATATATATATCTCAAACAGCTGCTCAATCCAAAGAAACAGAAAGTGTTACCTGGTGGGATTTTTCTTGTCTTCTTCCGAAATGAGGAACCAGACGAACTCAGCGTAGCTCATCCTGCCTTCTCTCTGCACAGCGTTACCCCTGGAAACAAAAAAAGGACAGCCTTTCACATTCAATGTCCCCATTATGGTGAAGAAATCAGCTCCACTGTGTCTGCTCCTGTGTGTGTTTCCACTTACCGAGTCACCGCGCCCGAAAACAATCGTTCGATGATTCTGTTTGAGGACGCTGTCAGAGAAGAGAACGAGAAAAAAAGAAAAAAAAAAAGAAAATGTGATTTGGTTAAAAGACACAGAAACATATGGACACTGTTGAAAAGCGTTGCACATACAGTGCAGTCACTTGTGTAAGTTCTGAGTCAGCAAATTCAATTTTGGTTTAGTGGTCATGGAATTCATTTCACATCACACAGATTTAAAGTGTTGTTCTGAGGACAAACAAAGTTCTTGTTTTTTGCACAAGCTGGTGGGGGCAGGAAAATAAAGAAAATAAGCAAATTAATCCAAAGACAGTCTGCTTCTGATTCTTTACTGGCATCCAATCAGTATTAAAACAATGAACAAAAAGAAGTCCAAAGCATTTCACACATTTTCCTCGACAGCAGTGTCATCTCTTTGTCTTTAACTCTATGTTTCTAATTTAGAAATAATCACAGCTTTGCCTTAAGCCACATACTCTCTCATGTCATGCTTTTGATTTTTTCATTGAATAACACCCAAGGATCTGGCGTGGACACATCCGAGGACACTAAACCCTTTGCTCTTTGACTTGTTTCTCACCATGATCGTTGTATCTCCCCAGGTCCTTGGGGTCGATGTAGAGGTCGTGGTCGCTGTCCAGCTCCCAGAACTTGCAGTAGATGACATAAAAGTGTTCGTAGGAGAAGTAGTCGGTGATCTGATTGATGTCGTCCTCTTCCTCCAGCAGGGCCAGGGTCTGTAAGAAGTTGCTCCTGCGCAGCTCCATCATGGTGATGCGGCCCGTCCACGAGCGGTTCACCACGTAGAATATCCGTTGGATTACCTGGAACCAGAGATGAATCTAAGTGATTCTGATCGGCAAAACGGATTTTGTTTGAATACAGAGAGAAGTAAAAAGTCTAGTCTGGTTATCGAGGACACTTGACATAGAGAACAAGTCGTCAGGTCATCACAGGATTGCTCTAATTGCTGTTTCAAATGGTTTTTCTTTTTTCCATTTGTGAGTGGTCAACATCAGACCCGCTCCACATCCCTCACAGATGCTACTATCCAGTAGTTCGTTTCTGCCCACTCTGTTCAGGATCTGTCCTAAACTCTATTCTGAGTTGCTACTGGGTGCTGACAAAGGTTCTCCTCAACAGGCATCCGAAAGCTGGCCAATCAGAGTAGCATAGGCTTTATCTCCGGAGACTTAAAGAGACAGCATCTGAATTTGCTTGTCTCAAAGAGAGGTTGAACTAAGGAGCTTTACAGAAGGCCAGAAAAGGTAAGTCAATCATTTTTCAAACTTTGACTCATGCAAAGCAACTCTATTGGACTCTCAAAGTAAGAATCAAAAGCTGGAGATGAGCATGATATCATTTATCACCATGCCATGTCAGAGACAAACCAACATGCATGTTCAAGGATATTTCTACCCTTATTCAAATTGTAAGTGCCACAAGACAATATGCATTAGAAACAAGAAGTCCTGTCCCTGAAACACAACACTAAGTCTGAGTAAAGAGCGGATTAGCACCCATTTCCTGGTACACGGACCTCCCAGGGCTTCTAATGTCTCGTACAGTAAGGGGTCAGCTGGTCTAAAATGAAGGAAGTGTCTTAATATGGGCATGTTGATGGGCTAGGGGGGGGCCTCTGCTGCAGCAGGCTGCAGGGGTCATCTGTGTTTCCGTGACGTCAGGCCAACAGCAGAGCGCTCACTTCTCAGCATCAGCAAATCCTCGATTTCTTAAGGCACGTGTTGCAGCTGTCCTGATCCACACACACTCGCCGACACACACTGCTAATGTTACTGTGCACAGGAGCTCTCCTGCTGACGAAGTAAGGGGAGTTTGAAGTGTACTGTTTAAATGATTTAGACTGTTTAATGTTTAATACACTGCAGAAATGAAAGAAGTATTCTGTTTTATTACTTCATTCTAAAAAAACACTGAAAAACGTTATTTAAGTTATTTAAGTCTGTTGGTAAGTTTATGAGGAAAAGCACAGCAATGAACTTCCAGTACCAAACGTTAAATTTCATGTCAATGACAACTTTCAAAGTCTTATTTTATCATATTTCATAAAGCGCGATTTCGCTGTAACTGCAAAAAGTGACATCAATTGACAAAGGCCCTTTAATGGCAAAATAACTGAATAATGTTACATCAACGTTCATCAGAACAGGATCTTAAGAAACTGAATCATTGTATTTTTATATTTAAGTATATATCATTTTCAAAATCATATCTTTTTTTTTATTGATATTTTAAGGGGCGGGGCTTCTTGTGCCTTTAATGTAGAGATAAGATAGTGGATAGAGTTGGAAATCAGTGAGAGAGAGATTGGGGAACGACATGTTGACAGGAAAGGAGCCGCAGGTCCGATCCCCAACCCAAACCGCCCACCCGGAGGACCACAGCCTCTGTGCATAGGTTCAAGCACACCAACCACTATGCCACCGGCGCCCTAAATCATATTTTTGCCAATTTTTAGTTCATCGTTTATTCTTTTGTTGCCAAAAACTTTGGTTTAACTAATAACTTTGCTTAGTGTGACTGGGACAGCTCTGTAAGTGTGGAGCACGGCCTGAAATGCCTTTTTAAATTAACAGTTTCAATCTGCTATCTACACAAAAGCTCCTCTAGGGACAGGTGTTGCAAATTAGCATCCGCCATAAACACTAAGATACTTGCATTGGATTGTGGTTTTCCGTTTTGCTATGTATATAACATCTGTCCCATCAAATCAAAACTAAAATACATTTAGCTCCAAGCACTAATGGCTTTCCTTCTTCTCCTTTTCTTTCTTAATATTATTATAATATTAAGATAATAGCCAATAAGCTCAGGCTCAATTACATCTTAAGATTAAAAGGTAGAGGGAATGGTTTCATGCTTTTAATCAAGAATGTAATAACACATAAAAAGCAGTTAACATAATCCATCATGCCAAAAACGTTATTTAAGTTATTTAAGTCTATTGGTAAGTTTATGAGGAAGAGCACAGATGTATTATCAGCAATGAACTTCCAGTACCAAACGTTAAATTTCATGTCAATGACAACTTTTAAAGTCTTATTTCATCATATTTCATAAAGCGCGATTTCGCTGTAACTGCAAAAATTTACCGTTGTTATGTAGCGGGAATGAAATTCAGGTGCATCCTTCAGAAAGGTGAGTCCAGCGTGTGTATCCACAATGTCCTATTCAGACAAAAGGCAACAAAAATCCATAAACATACTTTATTCATATTTTCAGGGAGGTTATGTTGTGTTTGATGTTAAACTAATGACCTGCAGTAGAGGAATCATGTCCTCCTGCTCCAGGTAGTTACAGCCCGGTTTGGCTAGCAGGGAAATAAACCTTGACGCATCATCATGGCAGCTGTGCAACAACCTGCAGGAGAGGAAGCAGACGAGACAACAATCAATATATATATTTAAAAAAAAAAAAAAGATTAGACTTTCAACATCGTGTTTCTGAGAATTAGATAAAAACGGAGGCAGTCTTACTTCCTCCAGGTTGCGATGAAGGAGTGAACGGAGACGAAGCCCGTCCTCTCGCCGCCTGCTGAGTAGAACATGGGGGCCTTCCAGTAAAGTGGACACCCGCACGCCTGAAAGGAAACAAGACAAGAGACAGTGTCATCACCTTAGCCTGAAGAACAACTGAGAACTGCACCACAGAGTTTGTTTCTTAGAATCAGTGCTAAGACAGAAAAGATGACAAAGAAACAAGAAGGGGGGGGGGGGGGTACCAACAGTTTGAGCTATGACTTCAGGAGAAAAGACGGTGAGATCGAGGAATACATTAATGTGCTGGATCATGAATGTAGTTCATATATTGCTTCAAGAAAATGATGCTGACCTTTTCATATTTTAAGATGTATTTTCACTATTATTATAAAACAAAGAGGTCGATTCTATTTTGGATGTTGAATTGCTCACCTTCGCAATCTTTCCCATCTCATAAATGTCCGCCTTCTCTTCCTCAAACTCCGTGAAGGCCGTCTCGATGGCAGTGATGGCCACTTCATGGTTGGCGCCCGGGCCCATGGAAGGGAGCCCGCGGGGGTAGTAGAACCTGGGAATGTTGATGGCTGGAGGAGGAGGAGGTGGAGGAGGTGGAGGAGGAGGAGTAGGAGGAGGAGGAGGAGGAGGAGGGGTGACAATCACCGGAGCCGGGGGAGGGCTGGGTGAGCGCGGGGCAGGTGTGGCTGTGGGCAGAGCGGGGGCGGGTGGAGGTGTGCCCGGTTTCTTCTCCGGTTTGGACTGAACCTGGAGGGAAGAAGAAGGTTCATGCGTCAAAATGGAGAAGGTGGTTGTGGTGGAATTTACAGCTTCAGTTCAGTTCTTTGAATCTTTCATCAGTTGAATTTAAAAAATAAAATAACAAGGGAAACTTTTAACAGTTTATCATAATTGAAAATAAAGGTCAAGGAAAACAACTTGTGCAGAATCAGGACATCATGCAAACGGGAGAAGAATCATTCAGAACTTTTTAACTTTTTTTTTGCTGCAAAAAGTGCAGAACTCACCTCCTCTTCACCTGCATGTTTATATTAACTGGAAATAACACAAGTCAAGAAATGAAGTAGTTTCCCCTGAACTGTAGACAAGACTCGACCTGACTTAATAAGGATTGAGAAATCCAGTTAGTCATAAACATACACACAATAAAAACCACAATGACAAACATGTTTTACAATCAGCCATTAAGTCACTCAGGCGATTTACAAAGAAGTCTGCCTGCAGATCCTCTTAAACTGTTGGGCAAGAAAAGCGCCAGCGGCCACAGGACGACAATGACTGTAATTGTACAACGCGCAATCACTGGAACCTTAACTTATATGCATATAATGAGTTTATGTTGGATTGATCTTTCCCTTTCAGCTTTGAATACCTATGCACATTTTGCACATCCATTAGGAATTTCAAAAATCACCGCTCAAATCGTTGTCCAATAAGAGGAGCCTCACAGTTGTCAGGAATGCATGCATGGGAAAATAATGCATGCAGCATTTTGCCCTAGCATAGGAAGAATTGGTTGCTCATTTGAGTCCTCAAAAGATTTTTATTTAATGCATAGCAACAATAACAAATACCTGATTATCTAGTGTTTTTAGTAAACCAGCAGCCGCCATGAGAAGGAAAAGATACAACACTTCAGAGAGTTCCAGCTACGATTCCTACGTCTTTGAGATCCAACACCTGAGGTACTTCATCAACCTGAACTTCCAATGGATCCTTACATCACGTTTGGAAAACTGGACCTTGTCTGAGCCCACCTTGATCCAAACTATACTGAATACTGTGTCTTAAGGCTATAAGGGTTGTGCAGTGGTGTCTTGATGTTTTTAGCTTTTCTTGTATTTTTCTCGCTGATCTTGATGCAATATGGGTAATGTGCAATATATGTTGTTGGTGGTTTTATGGTATTTGCGTCTCTATTTACATGTGGATTGACTTTTGATAATATTGCTTAAAGTATTAATTGTAGAGGCAGCTTTATATGTGCAGCTCTGGATTTCATGACACATTCCCCCAAAGGGACAGGGATGTATCGTATCGTATCGTACCCTCTCATATCGATTGTAATTATCATATCATATCCATTTTATAAACAAGCCCTTAACATAATTTATTTACCAGCGATCTGACACCAGACTTAAAATCATTTTGTCCACAACCAGACTCTCCGGTGTGTTTCAGCAGAGCTCCCTGGTGGCCCGCTGCCTTTGGTTCATGTTCTCTGAGGGTGCCTCCATACTGTGTGCTCTATGCAGGACAGCTGTAGGGGTCCTCCTGCCCCCTCCCTCCCTCCCTCCCTCGCTCGCTCTTCACAGAGTTCATTCTATCACTCTATTCCTGCACCTCCTGCCCTATTAATAACCTGCTGGTATCTGCCTCAGAAGAGTTTGTCGTGCCTGGCATGTCGCTCTGTGAGTATGAGAGCAACACGATGAATGCGAAAAGATGTTTGTGTGTGTGTGTGTATATAGAAACATCTGGATTTGCTTATTTGCAATGAGAAAACGTGTAAAAGTAAGAAACAAGCAACGAAATAAGGAGAAGAGATGATTGTGTCTAACCTAAAAAAAAGTTCATCTTTCTCAGTGTGCATCTTTCTCCATCCTACGCACCGACTGACCTGCTGCTGCTGCTGGAACGACTTGAGTCTCTTCTTGAAGCGCGAGGGGAGCACAAAGTCACACCCCCTGGCCAGAAAGGCCAGCTCCCCCCTCAGATCAGGGTCCCGGCGTAACGACGCCTCCTTGATCATCATGGTGGGGGCCGAGACATGCAACCCCCCACCGGAGACGGCCACCGACACGGCGGCTACAAGCGTACCAGCGTGCCCCGAAAGACCAAAACAAACCACTCTCAGGAAATGTTCAGACTTGTAGAGCAAGCCCACTAAACAGCTCAGATATCCAGGATTAAAAGAAGGAGTAAAAACACCTCAGGAAAGCACGTGTGTGTGATTCTGACAATCACTCAAACTCAAAAAAAAACGTCTCTTTTAGCAGCTTCCACTCGTGTGTACAGGCTCCCAAAGCAGTAATCCAGTAGAGTATCAGTGCGAAGAGAAGTTCCTCGAGCCCACCGTGTCAATGTGCACGCCAAGAGGAAGACTCATGGAACTTGGCTGCTTGAAGGCCGATCGCAGCCCTCGAATAGCGGCTCCTCTCTGGGGTAGAAACTCTCTGGTATCCCCCTGTAGACTCTGGATGTATGTTTTCAGTTCAGACTCACTGGTGCCTACCGCTCCAAGCTGGGCTCTGACAAACTGCGCTGAGAAACATGAGCCATGCCGGGCTCTGGCAACACACACACACACACACACACACACACACACACACAGACAGCAAACCGGCTGTCCCGAGCCTCAGGGTGGGGGGTGGGAGGGCAGTGAGGAGGGGGTTCAGCCATGTTGCATATCTAGTGTGTAGTGTTTTTGCAGGATCTGAACCTCTCGTCAGTCCCTGCCTTTGACTAAAGTTAGGCAAAGGGAAGTTACACGCCCGACTGCCTGGAATCAGACGGGAAGCTGACGTTCAGCCTCGGCATGAGTGGAGAGGACACGTAAGCCGAAATATTTTCATGGAGGTAATTTTGGATCCGGTTATGAATCAGAGGGCAAAGCACCTGTTGTTATATCTGATGACATACAGTTATTCCACTGGACTCCCTGGGAGACTTATAGATCAGTTCCCTTTTGCTTTCATACATTCAAACCCGTTTGGTCTCGGCCTTGTTTCAGTCTCGTCCTACCTTGGTCTTGGCCTTGGTCTTGACTCTGTCTCGGTCTATAAATGTCTTGGTCTTGTCTTGGTCTCAGAGCACTCTGGTCCGGGTATGTCTTGGTCTCGGTTACAGTGGTCTTGACTACAACACTACCATAACCAGTCCCATAGGGGAAAATGTCCACTAACACTAAAACCCTGAAGAAGAAAAAAAGCTGCAAATGCTTTTCTTTGTGAGATTTAAACTCATTTCACACTAATCATAACAACATAAAGTTTGCATTATTCAAAGCCAAGAAAAGCAGAAATTCTAGTATTTAAATGCTGAAAACAAAACACAAAGAACAGGGCTCACCTAAATTGTTGAAAAGAGAAAGATGCGCACACTTTTCAACAAACAATCAAACGGCTTGGATCTAAAGATCTTCCTCAGGGGATCGTCCTTTTGATCCAAATGTTTCTCTGTTTACATTAAAGTTTCTCAACCAGAGTCGAACATTGTGCGGACCTTTCTCTTTTTTCTGCAGGTAACACTTAGTTTGTCCAGCACCTGTACGCATATTGCTTGGATGTGCACACAGCAGGTTCTCTTTTTTTTTCCTCAGCTAAATTGTTACCAATTCATTTTCCAATCGAATATAACTTACCAAAATGCACCCTCATCATCTTTTATTCGCAGCTTTGGAACAACAGCATGGTGAAAAGCCATTTCTTAATTATGACAAATAGATAATTGAATGTAATATCTATACAATATCATCTGCCTGCTCTGTCTCTCTGCTGTGTCAGATCAGGCCAGTGACTGTTCAGAGCCAGGCAACGCTGATCTGAAGCCAGAGATAAAGATGGGATCCCTCAGGGCAAACAGGGGTGATGTACTTAATTTTTTTTCCACCTAAAGTCCCTACACTATTTGTCTGTCATGTTAGGACTTAAGACAGATATTCTACCATGGACACCTTCCATTTCTCATATGCTGGCACCGTAAACACAGTATCCACTGTGGTTGAGTTTCAGAGCAGCTCTAATGGAGAGTATACTGCCCTCTAGTGTTACACAGGCAGCAAAAGTAATGCCACTGATTAAAGAGAGGATATATTTAAGTCAAACTTTTCAGGAACACTTGAAGTGCTCTAAGTGGAAGAATTCAAATAACTTAAAGTGAAAGCTCATGTTTTCCCAGAACCAAAAGACCGCTACCAAACACTTCCAGTTTGCATTTTTCTGAATATTCTGAATAATTTCTTGTGTTTTTTTTCCTCCCATAACTAAGTTTCTATTTCTGCCTTTCTTCCTGTCCACATCACTCTGCATCACTGACAGCATGATGTGTGAGTGAAAGGTGAGTAACAGAGAAATGTGGAAATGTAGAAATGCTCACAATGTGTTCATGTGTGCGAGTGACTTTCCAGAATAATAAGTGAGTCACCTTGTGTTTTTTGGTAACTCCTCTCAGCTCCCTGTACGCCCTACTGAATTCTCTGGAACAACTTGACTCTGTACTAAAGCCAAGGTCACATACCGATCCAGCACACAAAACCCCACACACATGCACAAACACATTGTCTTCCTTTTGGCCACTTTTCACCTCTGTGCTGCTGGGAAATCATTATACAATCTCTATCTTATGTCCATCAACAAATGAGGAATCGCACCAGAATTTTGCATCAGGTGACTCCCTCACCCCTCCCCTCTCTCGCTCCCTCTGTGTCGCCCTGTGCTCTGTCCCACCACTTCCTCCGCACTACCTCATCAACTGCAGCAATGGACTTGTGATATCATAAATCTCTGTATAAAGAGATACATGTGAGCATTTAAGTGTGTGTGTGTGTGTGTATGTGTGTGTGTGTGTGTAATGGGAGCTAGAACAGATGCCATCAGGCAGCTGTGTGCTCTTTTCCTGCCTGACTGACAGTCACTGTAACCCTGCACTCTCCCAAAAGTCTCCACTTGGTCCGCAGACCAGCCTCCAGAGCTTCAGAGTGAAACCTCACTCCACCTTTTAAAATATCTGTCACCTAAGCTGGCACC